GCAGAGCAAATATAAAAAGTAACAATCCACCAGAAATTGTTCAAAGAAAATGTGATCTTCTTAAAGCGTTTTATGAAAATAGAATGGAAATAGAACCTGGTTTGACTAAAGAGGAAACGATACAAAAAAAATTAAAGGAGATTGAGAAATATGAAAATATAAAGGAATATAAAGAGTGGTGTGATGAACAAAATATAATTCAAAAAAGCGAACCTAAGAGATTGGAGAAGGTATACATAGGACACGGTAAAACCAAAGCACATTTTTATAGATCATTTGATGGAAGTAACTACACACAAGCAGACTTTGAATACACACTTGAATGTGAAAGAAAAGAAACTGAAGCAAAAGCAAGAGAAGCCAGAATACAAGCTGAGAAAGAGAAAATTGAAGTTGAGAAACAAAGACTTAGAAACAATCCAGGCTGTTTAGAAAGCGTTCTTAACTGGATTACATGTTCAGATTAAATAAAATTACATTCAGAAAATTTTAGTTAACAAATAAATATTTATTCTTTTTTGTTACTGTAAATCTAACAGTGTTTTGAATTTATTTATATAAATTTAGATTCTTTGACCCCCTATTAATGACATTTAATCCTTCGATAAAAAGATTACTAAGAGAATATAAGTATATGAAAGAGCTTGAAGATTCTAGTATTAGCGCAGGACCGATTTCTGATTCAGATTTGACACAATGGGAAGCCTGTATTATAGGACCACCGGGAACACCATATGCCGATGGAATATTCAAACTAGCTATTAAGTTTCCACCAGACTATCCCTTTAAACCACCAAAAGTAACCTTTAAAACTAGAATTTATCACTCAAATATTCACAACTGTAGTATTTGTTTAGACATACTTAAGAATAATTGGAGTCCTGCATTGACTATTGAAAAAGTATTAATTTCAATCACATCACTTCTTAATGATCAGAATGCCGATGATCCACTGTTTCGTCAAGCAGCCTATGATTTTAAGGAAAATCGTGAGGAATTTAATAGAATTGCAAGGGAGTGGACAAGGAAATATGCTTCACCTGATAGGGTCGATAAAAACAATTCTGATGAACAAGAAGAATAAATTACTTTGATTTTTTTACTGATAAAATTATACTTTTTTATAAATTTTAAAAGTTAAATAAAAAAATTTTATTGGAATCGCTCAAAAGCAATTTTTATATCTTCTAGTTTTAACTTCTTCTTTGTTCCCTTTCTTGAGTTTGATAATTTACATGCAAAATTAACAGTTTCATAAAATATTGAATCAAGTTCAGTGCAAATAAATTCTTTAATTGAAATCGGGTCAATCAATTTTTCAATAAAAACCTCATTTAAATTATATTTAAGTATAAATTCATCAATTGTTATTTCTGGTTTAATATCATCTGGTTCTGGTAATTTGTAATTACAATTACTAATTTCTACAATTGGTTCAAAAAACTTACTTTCTTGCTCTACTGGTTCATTAGAAATTTTCAATTTACTTAATCGTTCTTGAGCACTCTCTAAAAGATTAGTCTTATATTTCAATCCAGAATTAGCTATAAGTATTTTATGTTGAACTTCCAATGCCTTATCTTTAAAAGATTTTCTGCCTCTTTTCTTAGGAACCGGCTGTTGTTTTTCAACTTTTACCTGAGGGTTGTTAGGATAGTAGCTGATTCCATCAGCTACAAAATTGTTATATTTTTGTTGAATTTTCCTACCATCTATTTGTTGTGGTGTGTTGTTGTTTCTATTCATTTGTAAATTTTGTTGCATTTCACTGTTTATCATTCTTTGTTTCATATCAAATGTATTAAGTATTTCTTGCACATCTCCCTTATAAGGTTTATCTTTTGCGTAATACTCGGATGCCAGTTTGTTAAAATTAGAAGGACTCATGGGATGATTCTTATTAATGGGTGATGGCATTCCCTTATTAGATTGATTAATCTCATTATTATTAATTTCACTTTGATGATAAATTACATACTCGTTTATCATAAATTTAGGTCTTCCATGACTACCAACTTTAATAAACTTACCAACATTTGCAAAAAAAGAATTGTATTCAATCTCAAAGTCTTTTTCTCTCCTTTTCTCATCTGGTAACAGTTGTCGTTGTGATTTGATATTGTCAATATAATTCTTCTCATTAATAAGTGCTTCTAAATACTTCTCATAAGATTGTCCTTTACTAACAATTTCTCTCAAATACTTCTCTTTAGAATTTAATGGAGTTGAACTTTCATTATTTTTATCTAAATCAAATTTTGACTCTTGTTTGTCATCCATGTTTAGGGTTAATTATTTGATAAAAAATAATTTAGACTACTTTAATGTTTTACTTTCCGTTTGATAATTTAACCAATCAATATTTTACTATTTTATTTATTAAAATATACTTCTTTTCAAAATATGTCATTATGTAACTTATATTTGTTTATATAGCAATTCAATTATACTTTCCTATAAAACAATATTACAAATCTAAAAATATAATTTAGTCTTATTCTATTCTTTAAAGTAATGAGAATTGATATGATGGGAGGCAAATAATTTTCTTTAAATTTATTTTTTAATAAACACCCATATTTTAGCATCAAATGAGTGAAGGAATTACTGAGTATTATGGTGGATCTGGAGTAGCAATGGCTGGTAAAGATTGTTTAATTATTACAGGAGATAAGCGAATAGGTAATAGATTTCTTACTATTGGAACTAAAAAATCATCTATTAAAATAATTAATAAGAGATGTTTAATCTCAATGAATGGGTTTTTACCGGATATTCAATACTTATTTGGAAAGATTGAAGAGCATGTTGAATTATTTCAACTTACTGAAAACAGATCTATTGATGTTTATGAACTAGCAAATATGATTTCTTATATTCTTTACAGTTTTCGAACACAACCTAAATACGTTGACCCCATAGTTGTTGGATTAACAGATAATAATAAACCTGTATTGATTCAAATGGATTGTGTGGGCTGTAAGACTACTACCGATACTTTTGTTGTTGCTGGAACTGCTCATAAAAATTTGTCTGGTATGTGTGAGGCTCTATATAGAGAAGGAATGGATTCTGAAGAGTTATTCGAAAATACAATGCAAGCATTTTTAAATTCATTAGATCGAGATGCATTAAGTGGTTGGGGTGCTGAGTGTTACATTTTAACGCCTAATGGAATTGTAAGAAGGGAAGTAAAAGGGAGAAATGATTAATAAATTTTTATTTTCTTATTGCTTCGTTTATTTTTAAAATGCTATTAACAAAATCAACTGCCATTTTGTATTGACTTGCTTTACTTTTAAAACTCTCAAACACTCTCATTTTATCCATTTCTGCATATTCGTTTCCTTCAAAACAATCAATTCCAACATTTTTCAAATTATTAGTAACAATTGCATCAATTATCTTTTCTACATAGTCTGTTGGATGTCCTGAGTTTTTAGCTAACACCTCTGGAATTACTAAAAGAGACTCTGCAAACATTTTAAAACATGAACAATCCACTGGTTCTAAAAGATTTAAAATGTGATTTTTATCTCTTTTAAAATTATTGATGGCACAATAAATTGATAATTCTGTTGACCCTCCACCATAAATTATTTTTGATTCAACCATCACATTTCTGGCTGCACATAGTGCATCAGTTATTGATCTTTCAATTTCAGCTCCTACAAATTTATTAGCACATCTCACTATTATAGTGCTAGTTGTATTATTAACTTCCTTATTTGTAAAATAAATAAATTTTGTATTATCTGTTCCAACTTCTGATAATCGAACATTACAAACTCCTAAAGAATCAGATGAGAGATCTTCAAATCTGCTAACAATCTTACCATTCAATAAAGATCCTAAATATCCCAGTTCATGTCCAGGTACCCATCTGACTGCTGGTAAATCATTTTCTAACAACATTGAAGTTGCCTCATCATCAAATCCCCACTGACACAAAACCAAATCAGCACCGGATTCTTTAACTAATCTAATCATTTCCAAAAAGGTATCTCTTTCATATGAACTCAGATTCATGTATTCTTCACAGTTTGATATGATAATATTACCAGTGTTTTTTAATTTAGGTGGTTCAAATGGACAAGCTAATAATGCAATTTTACATTCTTTATTTACAGTAAATTGTTCCATCATTTTTTTACTGATCACCATTTCTTTTTCAATAACCACACCATTCACTAATTCAGTTTGATTCATCAACCCACCTTTTATTAATTTAATATTGATTTTCTCTAAATCAATACTACCATCTCTTTCTCCGCATATATTAAAAAGTGCGTTAACACATATTTCTGGCAGTCCTTCAAAGTATCCAGCTACCTTAGAATTAAGTGATGTTTTAGCCGCCTCTAAACAAGCATATCTTAATTTTTCCTTTTCTATTGATTCACATAGTTCAGTTTTCATATACTCTAAAACATAGTTTAATGCTTTAACATTTCCTTCTGCTATTCTTACTGGATGAATTTTTACTTTCATTAAATCAAGTGAATTTTTTAAAAGTTCTTTAGCAATCAATACTAATGAAGTAGTACCATCACCAATTTCATTATCTTGACTTTCACTCAACTCCTTAGCTAGCACTAAAGCCGGAGAAGTAACATTTTCAGCTGATATAAAATTCTCTAGTATTGTTCTACCGTCATTAGTTACAGTAATTCTTTCATCTTGATCAACTATTATTTTATCCCTACCATTAGGACCAAGTGATGATTCGATAATATCAGAGATCTTCTCAATAGCCTTATAATTAACTTCAACACAATTTACTCCTCTTATCTCATTAGTATCACTGTTAATTTCAAATGACAATCCAAACTCGTCTGTTATAAACTTTCCTCCTTGCATAAATAAGGGTTTAAAATTAAATTTAAAATATTTATTTATTTCTTTCTCTTATCATTTATTACAAATGGATTATCCTTAATTTTAGCAATGTTCATATTATTAAGTTCTTCTTTCCATTTTGGTAGACTTTTTGATTGATCTACATTAATTTTTAATTTGCTTACTGAGTCTTTCAAAAAATCACAATTATCAATCTTTCTCTTCTCATCATATGATTTAAAGAATTTTACCACTTTGTCATAATCATTAGATCTATCAATTACTATTGTTGGTTTCTTTATAGAGGTAATTGGTTTGGTCTCAAAAACCAATTCATTATTTCTTCCCTTACCACCATATCGAATTCTAAAATTTACTCCAATATTTTGTGCTTCTAAGGTATCCCTAGTTGTCATCCTCTTACATCTGGTTTCATTATCTACAGTGACTCTATTACTATAAGAATAGTTAGTTTCTTCTTTTTTGTTATTAGTTTCCTCAAGTGATGTATCTTGTTTATATAAATTTGTATCTATAAAGGTTGTTGGTGTTCTATAATTTTTTTTATTTTGTCTCTTAAACATTGAAGGGCTAGAAATGATAATTAAAATTTGTAAATAAATGTAAAACATAAATTCATTGGTTCTTACTGGTTAGATCTTTATAGTTAATTGGATTAACTTCTCTAGATTTTTTCAGTAGAGGATGCATGTATTTATTATTTAATTTACAAGGTGCATATAAAATTGTTAAATCCATATTCTCTATAAAATTATTCCATTTTTGGTATTCACATTCTATTTCCTCTCTAATGTTTAAATGTTTACTTTTAATATGTTCTGTGATCATATCAAAGTTAATGAATTTTTTAAAGCATTCTCTACATTCAAGTTCAGCCTTATTAACATATCTTTTAATCACCAAGTCTTCAATCTTCATGTAGTCAAATAAATCAATTTTATTTACATTTGCTATCTCACAAATTAAATAAATTCTTCTAAAATTAAAATTCCCTGGAAAGTGTCTTGAACAAAAATCATCCATAAATATCTTTTGATCATACTTAATACAACAAGTAGTACAAAAGTAAAAATCATTTCTTAACATTTTTGTTAATTCTTTATCATCATCAGGTAAGTCATTTCTTTCATTTCCTCCATATAATTTACATAATGAATTGTATAATCTCTTCAACCAGTAAACACTCAAGAAATAATATTCTTGATATTCATTCATAGAAATTTTAGTAGTTGTTCTAATAGATGATTCTGTTGAATAGAAATAAGCATCTTTTTCAATCACTAAATCATTATTAAAATAATTAAAGAATATCATGTACCCTTTAGACAAATACTTGTCGTATTCCTCATTTGTAAGGTGAGGTAAACAAAAAATATTTGATTTTTCTTTCAATTCTTCGTTTTTTAATTTAAAAATTCCCTTAATATACCTGTCTATAAACCAAGTAAATTTCTCATTGTTACTGTAAACCTTATAAAGATTTTCTAATAGAAAATTTGTTACATAATTATTATACTCAGTTCTAGTTATACTTCTTTCTTTTGAATCCATTTCATTAAATCTAAGAAATTCATTGTAAGTAAGTAAATTTGTAAAGGGTATCTCAGAAATATTTTCACTTACAACGTCTTTTTGTCCCTCATTCAACCTTCTCTTTTCTAATCCTTCAAAACTAATCATTTAATGGGTAAAATTTTATTGAGAAAAAATCAACATTTTTTTATATAAAAGTTCTCTAACTGAAATTAACAGTGTATTATCATAACTTGATATTTCCAACGTGTCATTAAATGTGATTGTCAGATTTTCATTAACTGTAAGTATGTTATATACTTGAGAAACCTTAAAGTTATTTTCTTGTAATATTTTGACAACTTCTTTAACTTCCAATTTCCCTAATGCTATATTCAAATTATTTTTTGAATTTTCAACATCAATTATATTATCAGTACGCATAACTGGACTAACTAAAATATGCTTATCTTCAAGAGTATAAAATGGTTTGTTTAACAACTCATCAGATATGGTAACTAATGATGTAACTGATGAGTTTATTTCTATTTGAACTTTTTCATTATCACAATAATAGACTTCTTTAATGTCATCCATTAAAAATCCTGTCATAATATCAAAATTAATTTCTTCATTTCCAACAATAATCAATTTTTCTACTCCAAAATTATTAAAAATCTCTTTAATTCCATTTAAATCAGATACTCCTTTAAAATAATCAACATTTAAAGTTTGAATAGGAACAACTCTTATAGTTTCGGTTTTATGAAAAGTTTCAATTTCAACTATTTCTTCAATATTTTCTTCTGATTGACTTTCAATTTCCTCAATGTTCTCAACCTTAAAGTCAAATTCCAGTCCAAAATCATCCTCAACAACTTTAAAAAATTTTCTAGGAAAAAATTTCGTTTGTCTGTCATTAATAAAGACAGTATCATTCAAATCATACCATTCAAATTCAGATACTTCAGATTTTACTTCTTCAACTTTTACTTCCTCCGTTTTTTCATATCTCTTAATTCTTTGTTCATACTTAATATCATATACTGGTATATTTGTTAATTTATAACCATCAGTCAGATCAATTAAAATGTCATTTCTCTCATTAAAACGTCTTAAGATTCCACCTAGATAAATATCATTGCCATAATCACTTACAATGATTATACATTTTTTAAGCTTATCATTGATCTTATTAAAAGGCACGTTAAAATCAACTAAATCAAAATTATTAATATTAGCCCATTCAATCATAAATTTTACCCTTTCCATAATGTTAAGATTGGAAATCACACAAACTTTTTGTTTGAGAGTTAAAATAAGTTCAATTAATCTGGTTATATTAACAATAAAAATTACATGTCCTACTGTCATATTAACCAGTGTTTCTATTTCTTTGGTTCTTGCTGTTAGTGTCATTGAAGGCACACATCCATATACATCATTGGTTATAAAAACACTACTTAGAAACATTTCACTCAACCCTTCAACATACTTTTCTGATGCATGATTGATATTATAGCCTAAAGAAATAGAATTAAGCCCTATTTTAAAATTAAAGAGTGAATTCCCAACTACACCTCCTGCATTATAAGCAACTATCTCAATATTTTTAATTTTAAATGGCTGTGCATACTTAACCATAGTCACGTTAATGTTATTTAATATATTGCCTCTTTTCCCTTCTACATTGTCTAACATTATTTTTCCTATAACAGCGGTAGGTACTGTACAAAAGATCTTGTGATTAGTAAATAACCCTACTGCCCCGAAATGCTTAATGTCAAATGAGGTTAACAAAACCCCATCAGCATTTGTAATTATTTTTTTAATTTTATCAGTGTAGATGTTATAGTCAAAATCATTACCAATTCCTAAATTTACTACTATATTTACATCCCCTATTGTCAATAGATGACAATACACTTCTGTTCTATTATCAATCAATGGTTCATATAACACTTGACAATTAAACTTACTACTTTTCATGTTAAAATTTATTTAAAAAAGTTTTAGTTCTTTTTATTAGTTTTAACATTCTTAATAAACGAAAGTGTGATAGGAGTAACAGTTATAAACACCACCTGTGATTCACTTGTTACCCCGATTAAAGTATTTTTTTTAATATTAAAATCAAATCTGTCAATTCTTTTTTTGACTAACAACTTATAAATAGGTAGTGTTGTATTTCTATTAAAATCTTTAGTTTTATTAAAAACTAATAAATCATTATTTAACTGTAAAACATTAAAAGAATTTTCTTTAAGTTTAAAATAAATTAATAGACGACTGTCATTTAAGTAATTAACTAACTTTCTTCTGTTATCAAAAGTTATATTTTCCTCAACAAATAAATATAATACCTCTACATAACTTAGAAATAACCTACCTTTTATCTTAATTCCGTAATGTCTCATTTTATTAGTATAAATAATAGGATGATACATAAAATCATACTTAATAAAGTTCTTATCAACATAACTTCTAAAATTTAATTCTTTATCAATTTTTTTAGTAGTCATAAAAAATAAGTAAATCAATTTATTTATTCAATCTCCTCTCAATTTCATCCTTGAAATATTGATAAAGTTTTGTACGTCTCTTTTTAAGTGTTGGAGTAACAAGATTTCCATCATCTAATTCATTAAAAGGGGTATTAATGACATAACAAAATGATGGAATTTCATACTTATTAATAGATCCACTATTAGCTTCAATTAAACCACGTGTTTTTATTTCAGTTAAAACAAAATCTTCATTCATGTCAGCTTCATCATTTACTACTACTATTGCTAATAAGAAATCAGATGTTCTTGTACTTGTTATGAACATGTCACTTATTAAACCACCACTTAAAACATTTTCAATCTTCTCTGGATTAATATACTCACCATAAGATGTTTTAAATTGCTCCTTGGCTCTTCCAATAATATGAAACTCACCCTCATCGAAAGAACAAATATCACCCGTTTTCAACCATTCAACACCGTCGATTTTAATAAATGCTTCTTGAGTTACTTCAGGTCTCTTGTAATATCCTTGGAAAATTGAATCTCCATACAGAAGCAATTCACCCGCACACATACCGTCATATCCTTCAACTTTCTTCAATCTTGCTAAACAACTTGGGAAAGGAACACCCATGCCATCAACAGAAGTAGATGATTTAGACTGAACTATGTTAGCAGCCAATCCTTCTGTCTGTCCATAACCTTGGAAAATTCTACATGAAAGAACCGCTTGTAAATACTCAACTGTACTTGGATTAATAGAAGCACCACCACAAAGAATATACTCGATATTACCTCCAAATTTCCTATAAATGTTCTTAAATATCAAGAAGTCAAATACCCAACTAGTATAAATTCCAAACATCTGCATAAATATCTTATATTTGATTCCCAATCCAACTAAGAATCTTTTAAACCATCCTAAAGAAGCAATTTCCGTTTTAATCTTTTCTTCGAAAACATTAAGTACACGAGGCACAGCTGGTACAAACACAGGCTTAATAATCTGATAGTCATCTAAAATCTTTTCCTTTATTCCTCTAAAGAAACAAACAGTAGCACCACATGAAACTGCGATAGATACACATATTCTCTCTAAGACATGTGCTAACGGAAGATAAGACATGTATCTAAGACTTTTCATATTTTTCAAATCAGGATATAAACCACCTTCCATTCCAATTAAAAATCCTCTTATACAAGACATAAAATTCTTATGAGTTAACTTAACTCCCTTAGGAAGACCTGTAGTACCACTGGTATAACAGATAGTAGCTAAATCATTAGGTTCACAGAACTTCCTTTGTTTAACATTTTTAACACACTTATCTGTTAAAATGTCTTCAAAGAAGTATACATCAATACCTATCTTTTTATACATGTCAGCAACTACTTCATCTTTATCAAACATAATAAGATTTTTCAATTGTTTTCTGTCATCTTCTAGAATATCAACAACTAATTTTTTAGCTTTAATAGCTGAAGCAAAAATAGTTTTAACTTTAATTTCATCAAGTATTGCATTCAATGCATCAGTTTGAAATGTTGAATATAAGACTACATTGGTACACTTAGCAAAATAACATGCATACTCTGATACAAGCCATTCTTCTCTATTATCACTGTATAATCCAATAAGTTCATTAGGCTCTGTAATACTTGTTAAAAAGCTTCCTATACTATTAATCTTCTTCCACGTAGCTTCTGCACTTACACATTTTAGTTTGTTATCTACAATAGAGCCAAAAATATTACCTTCTTTCTGCTCTTCAAGCCTCTTTATAAACATATCTAACAATGTCTTGGGGTATTTATCTTTAGTTGCTTTATACTTTTCGTATAATGAACTTGCAAATACTTTTCCCTCAGTCTTTAAGAACTTCATTATAAAGGGTTAAAAAATTTAAATTTATAAATACAAATTAATTTTCCCTCTAGAATTAATTAGAACAAACTATTATGTAATCAGATCAATTTAGTAAATTCTTTTAAACTTTTTGATAAAATTAGTTTAAATTTAATTTTAATTTTTTATTTTTAAAAAATGACAGAGACTGAATTGAAATGTTTAATTTGTAAAATAGATTCTTTTATAGATCCATCTATTAAATTGTACATTAGCCCATGTTTGCATCAAGTATGTGAAGTTTGCTTGTTTAAAGTTTTTGATTTAACACCATCTCCATGTCCTCAGTGTGGAACGTTACTTAGAAGAATTAACTTTATGGCACCAACATTTGAAGATATAGCTGTTGAAAGAGAGATTAAAGTGAGAAGATTTCTAAATAAATACTATGGTAAGTATTTAAAGATGATTGATGAAAACTTTAATCCTGCTTTAAATAAAGAAGTTGATGATTGGTTAGAAAAATATGAAAGTTATCTATTTGAATTGTTAGAACTACCTAATGAAATAGAAATTGATAACAAAGTACAAAGAGATTATAATAACAATTTTTTTAATTTGGATTTGTTTGAATTTATACCTGAAGAAGCTGAAATTAAAAAATTAAAAAAGGTTGATAAAACAGTTATTGAAAATGAACCATCTTTTGGTGTTATAAATTGTAAGAACAGATTTGATGAAATTGAATTAGAAATTCCTCGAGTTCTTTTTAAAATGGTTAATGAAGAAAGATTCTCAAAAGACATATTTTTAAAATACTGTGAATACCATTTAAATAAAATTTTATTAGATTAAAGTTAAAAGTTTAATTTTCTATAAAAATTATTTTGCATTAATGAAGCATGTTAAGATTACCAAAGGAACATTTATTAAAATTGATACAGAATAAATGTACAAGCATTGAACAGTTATATTTACTACCTGAAAGTGTTATAAAGGCACTAAGATCTCTCCCGATGCCTTGGATTAATAATAAACGTGTCACTGTTTATTATAATACGAATGGCACTATTGCTTTTATAAATGATAATTTCAAGATATCTGAGAAGAAATTTAAAGAATGTTTTACATTTGTTGAATCTTTAAAAAAGTCTAATATGAATCAATTTAAATATCCGTTTTTAAATGAATTAAAGTATGTAGAAGTGAATACAAATCTTTTAAAAATTAGAAATATTAAATCTAATTTTCAAATACGTTGCAATTTAAGAAATAAAAGGTATTTTACATTTGAAATCCCCATAAGAAACAGATTAACAAAAAACAAAGTTAAAATAAATAAAAATAACAAGAAAAGTACAAATTATAAAAAGGGGAAAAATAAAGTAAAATTAAGCAAAAATTACCTATTAAAAACAGAAATGAATTGGATAGAAGCTATGTATGCCGTCTTAATATGTGCACATAAATTATTAAATAATGTATTAAAATATAAAAATCTAGGATTTATGGAAATTAATATAGATTTTAATATTGTTTATAAAAGGAAAATAACAACTAAGGAAAGAAAACAAAGTAGATTGGGCTCTTCTTTTAATATAATAAGAGAGTTATGCAAACTATTGAAGTATGTTTATGATACTTACGTTGTTTATTATGAGGGAAAAATAATGTAACAACACTATCTTTTAATTTAAATAGTATATTTTGTAATGTATCTAATTTGACTATCATTTACAGGTACAGGTTTAAAATTATGAAATTTGTTAAGAAAACAAGTAGAAGAAAAAATAATGTAATATTCATTGATAACTGGAGAGTATGGATTTATATGTTAAGAGGTTATAAAAATCTGCTAAAGAATAATCTTTATAATTTCATACATCGAGATAGAAAAAAAATGACTTTTAGTAAAATTAATGCATCTGATCCGACAAAATTTGATGTAACAATAAAAGAATTAATATTTAAAGAAAATAAAGAATTAATTAAGAACAGAAATGAAGTGCTAAAAACTTTCAATTGTAAATGGAAAAATTTTAAATGTTGTAAGTATTATAATGATGAAAAATACAATTTTGTTCTTGATAAGTATATTAAGATGAAGATTGAATGGTATCTTAGTGAAACAACAAAAAAATTACCTACAAATAAAAACCAAAGAATAAAACAACTGGGAAGAATTTTAAGACTTCATATACACAAATTTACTCCACTATTAGATTTAAATTCAAAGTATAGTTATTATATAA